TTGTTGAATGCAGCTACTTGGAATGAAGAAAAGTGTATCCTTTCATGAAGATTATCCAATGCTAGTTTACAACTATCCCCCAGAAATTGAGAGTAATGACAACGTGGAGGACGATATTGATGATGCCGAAGAGTTTTGCTGGAAAATAGACTACGAAAACTATGCAGGTATGATTTGGGAAACTTAGGTTATGTAGATACTTAACCCATACGTCTGTTAGCCCCCTATGTCAAACAGTAGAAGATGTAAGTTAGCTTACTAGTCTCGTTGTATCTTGTATTGCAGATTGGGACATAGAAAGAGAAGTGGAAGAGTGTTTTAAACCACTAGTTTCAACTCATCAGGAAATTAGGATGTATCCAGTTACAGATGACATCCTCCAAGGTTAGTCCTTGTCTAGGCCTAATCTTCTTGCTTCTGTGTGTTTACTGATATTGTTATTTCTATTAAAACTACTTTCTCTTCCTTTTTTTTTGGGGGGGGGAGGTGAGGACAAGTTAGGGTATGAATATTTTGAGAGGGTTATCTCGTGGAAGGTCAAATTAATGGTACGGTTAATATTACCCCCAAGTTATCAACACTGTATTTCAACATTTACTATTGCCATTCATCCTACATTATTTAACACTCAGTGTTAGAGACAATGAGACCAAATTTGGGGGATTGGGTGGGATATAGATGGGTGACACGGTTTCTTATGTTCAAGTCAGAATAACTTACTCCAAGAAGGAGCTCAATCTGTTAGCCCCCCCCCCAAAAAAAAAACGTTTTAGTGAGAAAAAACTCTCCTCTAAAAGATGCAGAATTTAGGGGTTTGCTTGACTGTGTTTCTCTTTCACAAAATAGTAAAGGTGTTATTGTTCAGGCTGGTACCTCATTTAGCACATATAAGCTTCATTTAGCCTTCCTTAGCCATCTCTGTTGACAGAACTCACGAAAACAATGGAGGTCTTTTATTATAGGTGGATAATGGCTGGTAGGTCTTTTATGATAGATGGTTAGTGACTGGTATGTCTTTTATTATAGATGTATAGTGTATAGAATTATAGATGTATAGAAAACAGCTGTATAACGCTGAGGAATTCGATCTTATATTGCACAACATACGTGGCCACTAACTTATAACTTGGAAACTAGAGCAAATCCCTAGTTGAGATATCGAATATTGCAAGGAGTTGAAATCTCTATTCAGAATTAAAAAAAACAACAACATAGTATTGGAAAGCTGTGTTTTAGTTTATAATGTTTTTAACAATGTTGCCAAGGTTTGTTTATCCTGTTACTGTGAAGTCAGATCTGTGATTTCAATAGTTGTAATATTTTTTTTTGTCTTGTTCTGTTACATAACACATTTTATGCTCATGATTTTTTGAAGTAGGAAACTAATGTTCTGAATAGCAGCGATTTCAATTTTGATTGAACGGCAAATAATTACTAGTGTTACAGTGATATGATCAGATTGATAGATTATGCTGTAAATGTTTTATTTAAGTTTTTTACAAGTGTTTTTTATGTACTTGTAAATATTTACTATACAAAAGCTCAACATCCATTGCTTACAGATGTACCAAAGATTGCAACAGAAAAATTCGTTCAGGATTTTGTTGGAGAAAACAAGAATTTGGTGAGAGAAGGCAATCCTTGTTTTAAAGAAAGTTTGTCTTATAGTAACAGAAAGAATAAGGATGTCCTTAGTGAGGGTTTCTTTATTTCCTGTAAACCTGGCAGCCAGTATTCTAACGAAGAAAACAGAAACCAGTTTTATAGATCAGGTGCAGATACCTCGGGTTCTGTAGCTTTGTCATATATAGAAGATGAATCATCATCTCTCATGTCACAAGAGGAAGATTGCAGATGTGACGAATCACGAGTTGTGACTGAAGCCTATAATTCAGCAATAATGACAGTTCATGGCCTGGAATTTGATAGTCATCATCTAAGTTATGATCACATGCCAGGATATCTAAAGAACAGTGTGTGCGAGGAATCCCAGTCAGGGGTTAGTTACGACTTTCAACCATTATCAAACCTCCTCACTATACCAGACGAGTTGCCTAATTTTGTAGATGCAAAAAGTTTCGATGATACAAATATCTTCAAACCACTAACTTCCAATGATGCATATTTTGAATGTTGTTCCTTACAACAATTCAAAGAGCCAATTCAGAATATTGGTAAAGGACATTGTTTCATGGAGGAGAACTTTAGTGAAAATAGGGAAATTGGAGTTGAGAGACTAAAAAAAGAATCTGACCTGTACTCTCCTAATAATGAGTTGTTTCCTTCAGACTTTCATTTTGAAATTGCTGACAGTGACCAAGAGGACTTTTTTAAATGTGATTTACAGGAACTCCATGAAAATTGTAAAGAACCTGAGTCTCCTTTGGATGAAGTCAGACAGTCATTTACAGAAGGAAATATCGAGATTAATTATAAAGAGCCAGAAGATGGCATGAAATTGATGAAAGACAGGAATATTCAGAGCCAACATGAGGAGCCAGAATATAGTGCTGAATCACTGACAGAAAGAAACATTCAAAGCCAACATGAGGAGCCAGAAGCTGGTGCTGAATCACTGACAGAAAGAAACAGTCAAAGCCAACATGAGGAGCCAGAAGCTGGTGCTGAATCACTGACAGAAAGAAACAATCAAAGCCAACATGAGGAGCCAGAAGCTGGTGCTGAATCACTGACAGAAAGAAACATTCAAAGCCAACACGAGGAGCCAAAAGCTGATGCTGAATCACTGACAGAAAGAAACGTTCAAAGCCAACACGAGGAGCCAGAAGCTGGTGCTGAATCACTGACAGAAAGAAACAGTCAAAGCCAACACGAGGAGCCAGAATATGGTGCTGAATCACTGACAGAAAGAAACAGTCAAAGCCAGCATGAGGATCCCGAATGTAGTGCTGAATCATTGACAGAAAGAAACAGTCAAAGCCTGCAAGATGATTCAAAATGTGGCACCGAGTCCCTAACAGACAGAAACATTCAGATCCAGCAAACCATTCAAGGGGAACTTGAAGAATTAGAAAACAATGAATGTTACCAACTTAAAGAATTAAAAAATCTTCCACATTTTATGGCAAACAAATACTGTGAAGTGAAGAGTACTGATGTGTCTGTTCACTCGGAGAATGTTGGTGTTGAAGGAGACAGTGACCCTGCTAGTGTGAGAAGTACTGATGAGTCTGTTCACTCGGAGAATGTTGTTGTTGTTGAAGGAGACAGTGACCCTGCTACTGTGAGAAGTACTGATGAGTCTGTTCACTCGGAGAATGTTGGTGTTGAAGGAGACAGTGACCCTGCTGGTGTGAGAAGTACTGATGAGTCTGTTCACTCGGAGAATGTTGTTGTTGTTGAAGGAGACAGTTACCCTGCTGGTGTGAGAAGTACTGATGAGTCTGTTCACTCGGAGAATGTTGTTGTTGTTGAAGGAGACAGTTACCCTGCTGGTGTGAGAAGTACTGA